GTCCGGCAGGCACGGTCACTGGGAGGTCAGGACGCCAGCAGTGGGACTCTGTCCTGGAAACACAGAGCACCGCTCCCCTGTGCCTCCTGGGGCACAGCTTTGGGCACTGGGGGAAGGCAGGGGGCAGGGGGCTGGGAGCTGGGAGCTGGGAGCTGGGAGCTGGGGCCGCACTACGAGCTGGAGAAGCCGGCCCGGACCAGCCAACGGGCACAGGCCCGAACAGCCCTCTCTCTAGCAGGGGTCGGCCTGACAGACGAGCACTGCCCCACCCCAGCAAGCGCCACGGAACGCGCCCTCCCTGCCGGCTGCAGCAGGTGCTGCCCTCCTCCCGGGGGCAGGTGTGGGAGGTCAGAGGTGGCCCACTGAGGGTCAGGACTTTCCATCGTCCAGTGGCAATGAGGCCACACACACACACACACACACACACACACAACAAACCGGAAGACTTAACTCTTAATACAGCGACAATTACATTACATGTAAATGATCTAAACAGGCCAATTAGAAGACAGAGATTGTAAAGTAGTCTAAACACCTGACCCAATCATTGGCTGTCCACAGAAACTCCTTTCAACTAACGAGGTAGGGAGGTTGAAAGTAAAAGGCTGAGAAAGAGATGCCGTCAAAACGGTCAGCTAGAGGGGAGCTGGCCCCGTTGGTTGGAATGTTCACCTTGGACAGACCGCCGCCCTCTCTGAGTCTCAAGGTCACCACCCGATAACAGCTGTGAGCTGTGCAGAGTGGCCGAGTGCGTGGGAAACGCCCCGCTAGCACGAAGGAAATACACGAACGGGAGGCGTAAAGCACTGAGCGCTGGGATCACCGGCCGGTCTCAGGGCCAAAGGGCTCTGCAGGGCCCGCCTCCCCGTGCACAGAGCAGGGCGCGTACACGCGGGTGCGGGCCTTTCCTCCGCCAGGGTCACCAGTCAGGGCCCGGCCGGGGTCACGCTCCCGCTCTCCCATGGCCAGGCCCAGCACAGACCCCCGCTTTCCCGTCATGGCTGGGTAACCCGCCAGGAGCAGGTAGAGATGCTACCTTCTTCAAGTCCATGATCTCGTCATACATGTCCTCCTTCTCTCTGTAGACCGGCGTGCCCGGGGCGAGACCTGGAGGAAACACACAGCCTGTGAAAGACCTGGGAAGGAGGGAGATCTTAGCCAGATCTGAAGGAAAACCTGGGAGTTAATAAAATTATCCTTAAGAATAAAGAGCAGAAATCCTTCAGTGCTTTTAGTCCAATCACAGTCTGTCCCCAGAAAGAATGGAAATGGCCATGACCACAAGGCTGGGGCGGAGCCACAGTGCAGGGCTGGGGCGGAGTCGAGGGAAGGGACACGTGTACCTTGTAAACAGCCAACAAAACAAAGACCAGGAGCAATCCCCCAGGGCTCCATGCTGCTGCCAGGCAGTGAGGGGCGCTCAGCCCCACACCGACCCATGGGGCCTCAGACGCGCCAGCACGTGTGCAAGTGTGCAAGGTGCCCGGGCGGTGCGGGGTGGGTTGGGCACCCGGGCGCTGGGGGCACGCGGGAGAGGCCCCACAGGAGACAGGGACGCGAGAACAAGCCTCCGCTGTGAGCCCTGGTCTCTCCATGGTGCTGCGATGCCCACCTCTAGCTGTTCCCGCGGCTGACGTCACTAAGACTGTGTGGGGAGGCGGGAAGGGGGGCCCGGGACGCTGTCGCTGTCACATCAGGAGCGCCTCTTCCTGGGGGCAGAATGGACTTTCGGGGTCACTGTCCTTGGGACACTCCATAGAGGAAGCCCGACTCTCACCCCTTTCGGCTCCTGCTTGGTCACATGGCCCCCCATTGCTG